GAAAGCGAAATAGTTACTACAAATTTCGTTTCACTTTCGTTGAATTTAGTCTGCTGATATGGGGAAACATGCACACTTAAGCGCTAAATAATATTGAAAAAGAAGGAAAGAAATCTTAGAAAGTAATGCTAAATAGCTAGAAGCAGCAATGCCCAAATGTGACGATCAATTCAAGTTATGTTTAGCAATCTGAATTGGTAGGAAATTACTCGTAATATTATTAGTGAAATTTATTAGGAAATTATTAGTAATAAAAATGGCAAAGGCATATGTAAGGCATTCCAACTAAGACAGCGCCTTTGAAGAGTATTGGCAGTCAGGGAACGCAGGAAAATCCCTGAACAGCCACTTATGCGATGAGTGAAGTGAGTCGCCGGTTTTTTGGTCCTGTTCCTCGACTGCCACGCTCACCTTTTCCGGGGCCCTCGAATTTGTGGTTCTGCTATGTACGAATGCTGGAACCGTAGAACTGGCCCACTTGGAAATTGCTTTGAAGGGCTGCTGATGCGGATGCTGCCGTGCCATTTCTCCTTTCTTATCTCACTAAAATAGGCATTGTTGGTCCCGGTTATGTGTGTGTTTGGCCTGGCCCTTTCTTTTGATTTTTGCCATGCACGCATGAAAATTGTTTTCCTTTTGTTCTGGGCACAGGACTCAGGACTCAGGACGAGCAACAACAAAGGCCAAAGGTTGTTGACAGCGTCGGGAAACTATGCTACGGATTATGATGCTGCCAACAGCTAAGTGCGTTCTTAGGAACGCTTCAAAGGACGGGGCGTGGCAGGATATGTGGGCAGCAAAAGGCGGCTATTGACAATGGGCGGCCAAGGGGGCTCGTCTCTGTTTTAAGGCTTTAACCAACGAGGCAGTTGCAGGTGAATCCGGCTGGGTTTGGTGCCGAAAAGGCCTGATCGAAAGCCACATGGGCAGGGCAGCGGATGACACTTTTAGAAATGGGCGGAAAGCAAGGCAGTTGGCTTTGTCCAAAAGCAAAATCACCTCCCCAACGAAATGCAAGTAAAAGTGGTTTCTAGTCATCAAGAAGGCTTTGAAAGTGAACAACAAGAAATGTCACAGCTTTAAATACATGGAAGGTGCATATGCCTTAAACTTAAACCAAAATATATTGCATAACTGAGGGCCCAGTTTTAAAATGAAGGCCATATTTTATCCTTGCATTAAATTCGTATTTCTAAAAAACGCAACAAAACTTTCAAAGTTAGCTTCGCAAATCGTTCTCTAAGTGCGGATTTATTTAATCAGGCTCAAACGGCGCTTATCCTGGCTGGGGAAATGGAGCTGCTTACTTAGCATCGTTATGGCCAACGATTTATGCATAAGCGGCGAATAAGGAGCATTACAATTTGGCTAAATCTCGGAGCACCCACGTATGTGAATGGGCATCCTGCTTATGTGCATGTGAATGAATCCAGCCACGGAGACAAACGGCAGCCACTTAAAACTGTCACAAGTTAAAAACCGCAAACTGCAGTCGCAACAAGGATTGCACCTCCCCAAAGGGTTGCAAAAAGGACTCGAGATGGGCGGGGAATGGGGCAAAAAGCGGAATGAGGTGCACGTAGGGAGCAAAGAGAGACATTATGCGACGGCATGGAAACACACAACAATTTCACAGACAATGAATACATTGGCGAAATGAGCGGGTGGGCGAAGGACTCCTAGACACGAGGACAAAGGAATTTAAATAAATGCATGTGCACGACTTGGAGCTGGAAAAAAATCACAACAATTGGTTTGACACTGCAGAAAAATCGCAGCAATTGCACACAAATTACACTGGAAAAGACGTGTGTCAATAAATATCTGTGTGGAACTTAACACTAATAAGTTTTAGTATGATTCTCACTACATATTTTAGAGATCATATTTTAAGTTGCTTTTATTAGACACATGAAGTGTGGATGGATTAAAGACTACTTTTTATACCCCTTACTCGTAGAGTAGATTCGGAAACGTTTCCGACCATATAAAGTATATATATTCTTGATCAGGATCAATAGCCGAGCCGATCTGGCCATGTCCGTCTGTCCGTATGAACGCCTCGATCTCAGGAATTGTTTGATATTTTTTCATTTTTTTATATATTTTGTAAATTTCTATAGATGTGCCGAAATACTTTTGCCACGCCCACTCTAACACCCACATATCGCACAAAACTCTCACTCACACATTTTTAAAAAATTTTAAAGTCCATTTTATTATTTTTTCCCCAATTTCTATCGATGTTCCCGAAATTTTTAAAATTTCTCGTTAGCACTTCCGCTACCGGAGTAACGGGTATCTGATAGTCGAAGAACTGGACTATAGCATTCTAACTTCTTTTCTCTGTGCACTGAAAAGTCGGGGGTAAGGATGATTGGTGGAAAGAGGTTAGTGGGATTGGGCGAAAAAGAAGGATGTCCTTACAGCCACTCGAGGACAACGGCGAGCGATGACTTTGCATTTTGCATTACATTTACTTTTTGCAACTTTCGAGTTACTCCGGGCGAAAGCAGTTTGAAAATTATTGCAGATCCTAGAACTGGAGTCAGCAGCTTCTCTGGCTTCTTTGGCTTCCCTGGCTTTTTCGGCTGCCTCTGTCCTTCTTAGCCACATTTCAATGTTGCGTTCTGGAGTTATTTTAAGCCATCGTTGTTGTTTTGCGTGTTGTTGCTGCTTACACACGCAAATGTCTTATTTATGCTCAGCACTTTTTGCCCACCACCACCCACCCGCAAGCTTTTCCCCCATTTTCCACCCGGCGACAACTTCTTGCGGCTGAATGTCGTCGACATTGCTTTCTGCTCGGGGTTTTCCACTTTTCCCCGCCGTTCACCCTTTTTTGGGATGTGAGTGGGAGTTTTCCCCCGGCTTCATCCCTGCGGTTCTCTCGCAAATGTTGCCTTGAACATAAGCCCTTGTAGAGTATGAAAAACCGTGGAAACTTTTAAGGTGATCGTTTCGCAGGGATGGACTAAAAGTAAAGTGGGCTTCCAATATGTATTCTTTTTAAGTAATGTTTGGTAATTATGGCGATAGAAGTTGCACATTTCGAGAGAAATTAAAATCACCCGTTAGCATCTAAATGGGTGAACTTATAGTTAGAAGATTAAAGATATGTTTAGATACAAGACACTGAATTAAACACTTCCAATTACTACTTAGTATTTAAAGAACTAGCCTCCCATCTGGCTGACAAAGTCATGAAATTTATCAATGCACTTGGAATTAAAGAGACAGGACATTGGCGATGGGTTCCAAAAGGTCACCAAAGACCCGGCATAGTAGTGGGTGCATGGCCACGCATTGATATCCATTTTTTGCTGCCGCCCGGAGCGGAATCCCGCTGGGTCCCCACTGATCCCCCAATCAGAAGCCAAGCCTGCCAGTCCAATTGTTCATGGGCACACAAAGCTCGGATTGCATTTGGCCCGACTTTTGTGGAGCTGCTTCCCAGCAAGGATTTTCGCTATGCCATCGTACTTCAACTTCAGTCCGGGGCTTTCTTATGCAAAAATCCATTCTTGTTGCTTGTTATTCTGGCATAAAGGAAAATTGTTTATATAGCTGAGAATATATATTTGACAAGAAGCGGAGCAAAGGATTCCACGAGGAAGAGTTGCCAGCGCATACTTTATTTTCAACGCTTATTTCTCTATTTTTTTTTTTTTTTTTTTTTTGAGGGGACACAGGACAGGACGGACCAAGCTGCTTAGTCCTGGCTCTAATAGAGCCTTGCCAGGACTTTTTATGCTGCTTATTAAGGCTGGAGAGGATTCCCGCGCTCAAATTCTGTCCGGCTCCCTGCATTTCCTTATTTATTGTCATGGATATTTGAGTCAAGTTTTTGCTGCACTCTTTTGTGGCCCGTGGATAATATACAATTTTTTAATGGCCCATAATCACGTTAGCTGAAAACTGTCGCCGGCACTAACTTAATAAGCAGCAAGACCAAAGTTCCCCAAACGAGAAGGCAATGGACAGCTGGGCACGTTATGCAATTTAACAGAATTATTTAAATTTCAGCGAAACTTCTGAAGTGGGGCATGAAAAGTGAGCGGCAAAGTTTGCAACATGGCAACAACTTCACTCACCATGGGTCAGTGTTGCAATGGGCAACTTTTAAATTAACCCTAATTCAGAATGCGCCAACAGCAACTAAATGGAAATGAAAAATAAAAATAAAAATAAAAATGAATATAAAATAAAACTTCAAAACAAATACAAATAAAAATGGGAATGAGAATGAGAATGAAAAGAGGCGGAGGCAAAGAAATGGTGGCCAACAAGTTTACAATATTCTTGCGCATTCTTCAACTTTAACAATTTATTAAATGGGTCAAAAGCCACTAAAATTTCATTTATCATTGCATGAGCAGGCACTGCACCACGCCCACCGCCCAGCCACCTGCCACGCCCCTCGTGCCGCCCACGGGCAGCCAGCACGTCAGTCCCTTGAAATGCCAACAAATCGCAGAGACGAATGAGCTCGGCAAACTTGAAGCGCTTCCGGTATGCCACAGCCAGTTTTCTCCTCGCTCCAGTTTCCCTGGATTCGGGTTGGGCATGTCGGCACTTCAGGGACATTTGTCATGGAGATGGGATCGTTACGAACGGAGTCCGCCCAACTAACAGTGCTTAGAACTCAGTAATGAGTTGGATCTAACCAGAACTGGAAAGTTAATCGACTGTCGCCGTGCGCTTTATTCAACTGTAAGTTATATGTGCAATTAACTCTTGGAAGCCTTCATATTGAGTTCAATTGGATTTCGACGTCATATTCTTATAAAGATAGGATACCCCAAAGCCTGCCATTCTGCCCTTCAAAATATTTAATTAGCTTATCCGTCTACGCCTCCACTTGATATTTAAGGTCATTAGCTGACTTCTCGGTTATATAAAATTCAACATCGCGTGCTTGCAGAGAATGTTTAAGGATCTCATACATGTGTTATCCCAATTCAGCTACCATGTATTAATTCAGCTCACTTGGAGGCTTTTTAAGCTATTAAAGTAGTTCTCGTAGGACCTGTTGGATGTACAGTCCTATTGGGACGTCGAGCTATAGAGGTGGTGTCCCTGGGAAATATAAATATCAAACTTCTTGTGGTTCGAGTTGTGTCCGGATGTTGAGGTCTAGTGGTTTGAATGGGTCTTGGGGTGGGAAGCTTTCTAGTGGGTTCCTCGAAAATAAAAGTCAGTCGTCTAGTAGTTCTAACTTGGGGTCGGGTCCATAAAGTGGATCGCGGTAATGTGGGTTTCGTAGCTCTAACTGGTGTCCTTGTGGTCAAGGTGGATCCGATGGGTCGTCTTGTCCATAGGGTGGATCGCTTGGTGGCTCCTGGTGTGGAGCTTGAAGGTCTCACTGGAGGTCGTGTCCATAGAGTGGCTCGAACTGTGGGTCTAATTGTGGGTCTAGGGGTGGGTCGCACTGTGACTCTTATGGGAGGTCTTGTCCACAGAGTGGGACCAACTCTCCTGCGCGTTGGACGAACTGTGGGCAATGGAGGACGCACTGGAGGTCTGGTCCACAGGGTGGGCCTTATATTGGGTCTAGTCGGTAGCAATCTGGTGGGTGGCCGTGACCAGATCAAGAATTTTCGAGTGGTGCGCACTGCTGGTGGACGAGTTGGCCTGGCGGTGGGTCTTCGGGTAACTGGTGGTTTTGGGATCCTCCTGGTTGGTTGCCTTGTGATGGGAAGTCTTCTGGTGGGCCTGGGTGGCGGAACAGTTGGAGGTCTAACAAATCGCGGTGGTGTTGGTCTGAAAGGCCGTGGCGTTATCCTGGCTGGCGGTGGTTTTGGCCTTGGAGGAGGTGGTCTGGGTATAGGCCTTGGAGGAGGTGGTCTGAGGATTGGTCTTGGTGGCGGTGGAGCACGCCTGGAACTCTCGTCGGGAAGTATTCCATTGATGTCACCAAAGGCCAAGCAGAACACCCAACTAAAGAGCAGCAGCGCCAGTCGCATTTTGTGTACTCGGCACGAACGAGTGCTCCGATTTATATAGGTTACTATATAAAGACCAAAAATAAACACAGATGGTTGCCGAAATAATTTGTGCCTTTTGTCTTTAGACTTCACTCGGTAGTTAAACGTTTTATTAAACATACATAATTACATGATTTCTTGCTTTTTCCGTCTACTTCACTTGTCTTTTGGTTTCTCGGTTTTGGGTTGGGTATTGTATCCTTTGTATCATATGTATGCGCATTGTGTATAATACTTGTACATTCCTATATAAATGTATACCGTATATGAGTATTTTTTATTTGTTTTTCAATACATATATATAGAGAGAATTTCTTTTAATATCGGCTCAACAAACATAACTGTGAGTGCAGTTGTACAGAATGCATAATACTAAGGTTCATCTACCCGAAAAATCCTCAGGAATATGGTGCTGTACACAAGAACTGGCGTATCGTTACTATAAAATATCCAATTTAATTTGCTATCAACAATATTGAAATATAATGTTTACAGTATTCAATACATATATTTATGTTTATGTATATCGAGCGAAAGATTTGCTATATGAAATCAGGAAAAAATATATTTTAGGTACAAATATAGTTTAGTTTGCCTTTTCACTTTGGTGCGTCAACTTTCATATACTATATAAACGTATATCATATATTTCTATGTTATATGTTTTCTTAGGTATGTCAAAATATGTCATTTTGTTAGTTTATTTGTGTAAAAATTAAAATATTCAACAGTTGATTGCAATGAGGCGGATTTCCATAATATCATTCGTTACAACATTTGTTTATACTTTGTTTTAAAGATTCGGTTTCATTTGCAGGTTTTCTTCTCTATGCTGCTTATGTTTAAGTTTAGATAATTTTTGTTTTTCAATGCAACTACATTTATTTTCCATAGTTCATATTTACTTTAAATAGTTTGGTATTTATTGCGTAGGACCATTTTGGGATTGAATGTGTCTCTTCGAATTTTTTAAAGGTTGCAAATATCTAACGTAAAGATCATTATTTAAAGTGACGCCCCTAACTTCTTCATAAACATTTTAACTGAGGAATATCGAGACTTAAAGTGATTTACTAATTTTGCTCTTTACATGAAACTTCGCTAACCTATTGGGTAATCCACACGGTGCGTTTCAAAGCCATAAGACAACGGATAATCTAAATTAATACTATAAAATAGTATAGTGAACATCAAAGTCATAATCAACTGCGGCTAAACGAAGCAGCTACCACTGCTTCCCGATGTCCTGTAGCCTTGAAACGCCTCGTATTCACATATCCTGGCTTTTCAAGAACTTCAATCTCTGTTTAGTTTTCCGTGATTGTATAGGTACTTTATGTGTAATTCGGGGTGTGTGTAAAACGGGTAACCATGCGTATGAGTAATTTGCTTTGGTGATCGCCCAAAAGTAGGCAACAAACTCGGCATGCTCATAACTGAAAACTAAGTCCGGGAATATCAATCATTGCCCGGCGCCATGCAACTGATATAAAAAGGCCTATAAATATTATAGATCGGTACAATATATATATATAACTATCCGTACACACACATATATTGCCCTATGTATATATTGCTAAGCTGCTATGTGAAAATTCGTTTCGACTTCCCCCTCACTCCACTCCATCGACTTGAAACAATCCAACTCATACGTAATCTTTATGCTTTAGGCTATGTGGCATGTCCTATATAAAATATATATGTGTATATGTATATGCTATGCTATGTGTAGATCGTATGTTGACTGCCCAACAAATCAAAATAAAGCAATGCAGTTATGCAATTCATATTGCAGGCCAATGTCCAAGATATGTTTGCGGTTATACTTTGTTCGTTTTAGTACTGTGAGTATGAAGATGGGCTGAATGCCGACTCCGAGAAGCCAAGGTCTCCGTTTACTGAGCAAAAGGATTGTGCTGGTTGGCTCCGGGTATGTCCAGATTACCGCCAGTGGTCTGGTACGTGCCATATGGTCCTCCATTCGGATTCATCTCGTTCAGCCGCGAGTTGGACAGAGCCCGTGGAATCGGATTGCTGGGAACGCCGTGGGGTGCCAAATGCGAGGTCTCCTCGGCCACCTAAAAATTCGGGTTATTGTATTACTTAGACCATCACTGATATAGAATAATTTCAAATTTATAACGTACAGATAACTTCCTAAACAGGATTAGGAGAATTGGATCTTACTCACCTGATGCGGATCCTCGGTGACGGGAATTTCCGAGATGAAGCCCTGCTCCTTGCGGTAGAAGTTGACGAAGATGAAGAATCCGAGGACGAAGAGGCAGGCGATGCCGTACCAGCGGAAGGTAGTAGTAGTACCGTAGTAGGTGACAAACATGCCGCCAATGATGGCGCCGCAGCCACGTCCCAATCCGTGATGGATGCCCTGGAGGACACCCTGGGCCGAGGCTCTCAGGTGCTTGGGAGTATTGTGGGCAATGTAAGAGCAGGATGCAGCCCACACGGCTGCATGGGTGATGCCCTGCATCAGCTCGAATGGCAGCACCATCCACGGATTGGTCAGATAGGAAATATATAGGAAGCGCAGTACATTGCCAATCAAGCCCAGGCACAACACCTTGACATGGCCAATTTGGGTAATCAGACGGAAGCTAAAGAAGTAGGCGAAAATCTCGGACACATGATTGATGACAGAGGCCACACCGAACAGGGTGGGAGTGCCACCATAGTCCTGCAGATGCCAGAACAGAAAGGTGAAGATCAAGCCAATGCCGAAGCCCATGAACCAGGCCACGAAAAGGAAGGAGGCGGTCTTCAGATCTTTGAAGTGGGTGAGCACGGTCATCCACTCCGGCAACTCCTTGGCCGTCTGGGCGAACACCTTGGACTCGGCCCCAATATGCGGTTGTGGCTGATGGCCAGTGGCCAGGAAGCTACTGACGCCACCGGCACAGGCACCCGAGGCGGCACTGCCGCTACCAACTGCCAGCGATGGCAGATTCAGCTGGGCCGCCAACTGGTTCATCGACTCCTCCTCCGCCCGCTTGTTGGGATCCACGAACTGCGCCTGCTGCTGTGCAGCCATCTGCTCATCGATGGGATCGTACTTGAATGTGATCTTCGAGGCGGAGATTATCGCACAGGTCATCAGCACCGAGAAGATGGAGAAGCAGATGTTGTAGTTCTTCTCCTTGTTGCCAGCGCCACAGGGATGATTCGAGAACGAGGTGGAGTGATCGAGGGCGATGCCCACCAGGAACATAGAGATGCCCCAGCCGAGGGACCCAAACATTCGCTGGTGACCGTACTTGTCTGCATCCTCGCCCAGCAAAGTTATTACGGCGGAGTCTGCCAATGTGATTGCCGGAGCGCTGAAGAACTCCCCAATGAGGATCACTAGGAGCAGCAGGAAGAACGCCTTTTGGATGTCCTGTGGGCAGAGATAAGTATGTAAGTATTTTTTAAGTATTTCATAGATACAAGATCCTCTTGGCAGCTGGTGTACTAAGTTAAAGATGCAAGATTTATTGACATACCTAGTAGATCTTGAAATGGCAATATAAGAATGGTTTGCAAGGCAGAAATTATGTAAATTAGTATTAATATGCAACATTACCTTATAAGTAAAACAAGATAGAATGCTATAGTCGAGTTATCCGACTATCAGATACCCGTTACTCAGCTAATGGAAGTGCTAACGAGAATTTTTTAATATTTCTTTAAAATTTCTACAAAATCATAACATCAAAAAAATTAAAAAAAATAAATTTCTAAATTTGAAGTCAAATTTTTAGAGAATTGCTCCAGAAACATTTAGAGGTATGCCACTTCAAAATCCGATCACGATAAGTTGAGTTATGGAGTTTAGAACTTCAGCCTTGGGACTCTTCTTACTTATTTTGAATTTCTACACACCATAATATCAAAAAAATTACAAAAAAATCAAAAAAAAATACATTTTTAAATTTGAATGCAGTAATTTAGAGAATTTCTCCAGAAACATTTAGAGGTATGCCACTTAAAAATCCGATTAAGATTAGTTGAGTTATGGAGTTTAGAACTTCTGCCTTGGGACACTTTTTACTAATTTTGAATTTCTACACATCATAACATCAAAAAAATTACAAAAAAATTTTAAAAAAATAAATTTTTAAATTTGCATGCAGATTTTTAGAGAATTGCGCCAGAAACATTTAGAGGTATGCCACTTAAAAATCCGATTAAGATTAGTTGAGTTATGGAGTTTAGAACTTCTGCCTTGGGACACTTTTTACTAATTTTGAATTTCTACACATCATAACATCAAAAAAATTACAAAAAAATTTTAAAAAAATAAATTTTTAAATTTGAATGCAGATTTTTAGAGAATTGCGACAGAAACATTTAGAGGTATGCCACATAAAAATCCGATTAAGATTAGTTGAGTTATGGAGTTTAGAACTTCTGCCTTGGGACACTTTTTACTAATTTTGAATTTCAACACATCATAACATCAAAAAAAGTACAAAAAAACTAAAAAAAAAAAAATTTCTAAATTTGAATGCAGATTTTTAGAGAATTGCGACAGAAACATTTAGAGGTATGCCACATAAAAATCCGATTAAGATTAGTTGAGTTATGGAGTTTAGAACTTCTGCCTTGGGACACTTTTTACTAATTTTGAATTTCAACACATCATAACATCAAAAAAAGTACAAAAAAACTAAAAAAAAAAAAATTTCTAAATTTGAATGCAGATTTTCAGAGAATTGCGCCAGAAACATTTAGAGGTATGCCACTTAAAAATCCGATTAAGATTAGTTGAGTTATGGAGTTTAGAACTTCTGCCTTGGGACACTTTTTACTAATTTTGAATTTCTACACATCATAACATCAAAAAAATTACAAAAAAATTTTAAAAAAATAAATTTTTAAATTTGAATGCAGATTTTTAGAGAATTGCTCCAGAAACATTTAGAGGTATGCCACATAAAAATCCGATTAAGATTAGTTGAGTTATGGAGTTTAGAACTTCTGCCTTGGGACACTTTTTACTAATTTTGAATTTCTACACATCATAACATCAAAAAAATTACAAAAAAATTAAAAAAAAATAAATTTTTAAATTTGAATGCAGATTTTTAGAGAATTGCTCCAGCAACATTTAGAGGTATGCCACTTCAAAATCCGATCACGATAAGTTGAGTTATGGAGTTTAGAACTTCTGCCTTGGGACACTTCTTACTTTTTTTGAATTTCTACACATCAGAACATCAAAAAAAGTACAAAAAACTAAAAAAAAAATAAATTTCTAAATTTGAATGCAGATATTTAGAGGATTGCTCCAGAAACATTTAGAGGTATGCCACTTCAAAATCCGATAAAGATAAGATGATTATTGGCATAATCAACATACCGGAGTCCTGTACACCATGGAGCTGAAGATCGGCGTCACATAGTCCCTGTGGTACTTGTCGTCATAGTTGCTCACAAAGTTGATGTGCACTGGTGAGATGCCCGCATCGATCCTGGGCAGCAGCAGGGATCTCTTGTGCCGACTGTGGGCTGCCTCGGCCTCCTCCAGGGCTTCATCCGCTGGCATGGTGCCAGTGCCCAGATCCAAGTGCTCCTGCTCGTACATGGCCGACAGGTCGCGCTTCGTGCGTGTGTAGGTCAGCACAAAGTCCGTGGCATTCCGCCGCTCAATGCAGTTGATGGCCTCCGGTCGGATGAAGCTCAGCGGGATGGTGAAGAGCACCCAACAGGCCAGGGAGCCCAGGAGCAAGCGCTTGCCCTGCCGACAACGATCCGCATAGGAGCCCCAAAACGGGGCCGACAGGAACTCCACGAAGGGCCGCATTCCCACCAGGATTCCACACTGGCCCGGATTCATGCCCATCTGCTTGAAGTACACGCCCATCAGCGGAAACAGTGAGCCGAATGCGGCGTAGAAGAAAAAGTAGAAGCTTTTCACGGGTATCAGTTCGCGTTCTGTGCTCGCCCCGAAAAACATTTCCAGGATGTCCGAGTGGCCGCGAACTTTGTGCGTTGAGTCCTTTGCCTCTGGATAGCTGTCGATAAGTGTGAATCAATTAGTTGCTTAATCTAAATGGATCGTCCCCTAGACTTACAGATTGAGATCCACCTCGCCAGTGGCCTCCACATCCACCCGTGGCCTGGCTCCAGGTGGTCCGTATCCGGCTGCCTGCTGCTGCGGCTCAATGCCGTAGTTCATGCCCTGGTCGTAGCCACCTGTTGCCTGCTGCTCGTATCCATAGCCCTGTTGGCCATATCCCGCTCCACCGGCGGGTGCTCCGAAGGGATTGGCTCCTCCTCCACCGCCTCCGCCGGCGCCCGCAGTGTAGGGATTCATTGTTCGCTGGTTCCTTGAACTCGGATGGTTTCTGCTGGATGGTCCTGGTTGCTCCTCCTCTGAACCCTACCCTTGCTGGTTGCTGCTGTTCCGCTCTTGTCTGACACTTCCCTTCGGTCTGGTCTCTTGTGTCCCAGTTACAGTCTCATTATCATCTCCATTATCATTCGGCAGCTGCATAAAACAAAGGACACAATCCATCATTACCATTTCATTGTTCTAGCTCACACAGAAGGCCTGTGGAAAGCGATTTGGATTTCTTTTCACTTCGCCTGCTTTATGAGAAAGGGATAAAACCACCTTCCTAAACTACACCACACACATTACCACATTACTTCATAACTTACTACAAAATACTTGAATATAACATTTACTTTAAAATAAAAGCTAAAAAACTAAGCGTGGCCATCTTCTGAAATAGATTTTATAGTTCCCGAGAACTCTACGTTCATACTGATAAGATATATTTTGTAGAGTCGGAAAAGCTCTCTTCTACCCTACATACCCTTCAAAAATGGTTATAATTAACTAACACAGTGTTTTTATTTAACTTATCTCATGTTAAAAGTACTTCCAATTGTATTAGAAATTTAATTTAAGGTAAAAGTCCCAACTACGTTTTCTTAGTTCGCAATATAATCGTGCTATTTTTCTTTTATATAATATTTCCTTGATATTATTTAATCCAGATTAGTGCCTATGTACAAGGCTTAGCTCAAGGGAAAACGACTCGTATTGCGTCCATTTCGGAACTCAAACAAATACGGATGTCAACTGCTACCGTTTGACATTTCCTTGATTTTCGAGCGAGCATTTAAGCACTTTCCCTCCCCTTGACTTTTAAAAATAAAAGCGTTAGATACAGAGACTTGAAATAGCAAAACAAACAAGCTCTGCCAATCACTCGGTTTTTTATGAGTGAGCTCAAGCGAGTTGAGTGAATTGCATCAGCTTGTGAGCTTTGAGCGTGAGTAATTTCTATTACATTTTTGGTTGAGTTTACTGGTATCACACATACGCACCGTTGGCACATAAGAAATGTGGGTAAATGGGTACGAGGCAGTGTGTGTATGTGGGTTATTGTCTGTATATAGAGCAGACTTGTTGTTGCCACCAAAGGCTTAATGCAAATGGGGTATTTTGTGGGCAAATAAAATATTTTCTAAATAATAAGTTGGCAAGGTAAAATGAAGGAGGTTACTAAAATTAAGATATACCAACAATTATATTTAAAGGTTTATGAACAATCTCACTCAACCACACTGCATAAACAGTTCATTTATTTTAGTTAATTATAAATCCTTTTGCAAAGCTGCGGATTTATTTCCATTTTAATGGCTCACACGTGCCCACAAAATCCGAGGTACATATCACACTCTATATATAGACAATTTTCGCACACTTCTTGAAGGCCATTGTCACAGGTTGAGACACTTGGGGCGAAAGCCTTCTTGAAGTCCTTGTTTCGTATCCTGTTTATTATGTAAACTTGTCGCACCGTTCACCTGTGATTCGGTAAGTATAGTACACACCAGAAATATTGTTTGGCTGGCTGGCTGTGATGAACTATGTATTTAACTATTCGGCTGTGGGGCGAATGTGTTACGTGCGTAATCGATAAGCAGAGTTTTCCTCGCGTCTGGCCTCTATACGAGCGTTTGGCAAGCTGCCCAAGAGTTTTCCCAAAGAGCCCCGAAAAGAAAATGTTGCGCTCAGAAAAGCGGACGGAAAAGCTCGCTCAAGCGCGTTCCGCTGTCGCACGCTGAGGTGTGTGTGTGTGTGGGTGTGTCTGTGTGTGTGTGTATCTGTGTGCGTGTGTATCCAGTCTAATGAGATTTGACGCGGTGGACGGCAGGACTTCAAAGAGAGCGAAAGAGATGAAACGAGAGAAAGTGACAGCTTGGCGGGAAAAGTTCATTTCGAAATTCCACTTTCTTCAGCGATATAAAAGAAACAAAATACCAAACTTAAGCTATACAAAGAATATGTTCAAATGAACAAAATAAGGCATTTTATCAAGGTATAAACTGTAACTGCAGAACATGTAAAGTACAGAAAACTACTGAGTTGTGTAAACTACTCAGCTACTACGCAGCCAAAACCCGCATAAAAACAAAAATAATAATTTTCAACACGTTTGCCTTCAGTGGCCTATGCGGTGATAGGCGACATGAAAAGTCCCCAAGATGGGGAACCACCGGCGACCACAGCCACGACGTGCCTCCCATTCGAATCTTGTTGCATCGCTGGCTCCTATAAAAAGGCAAGTGCTCTGATTGAAATCATATCAGTGCGATTTGTACACTCCACAAACAATGAAGTTCACCATCGTTTTCCTGCTGCTGGCCTGCGTTTTTGCCATGGCTGTGGCCACTCCCGGCAAGCCACGCCCCTACAGCCCACGCCCCACCTCCCATCCGCGCCCCATTCGAGTGAGGCGCGAGGCATTGGCCATCGAGGATCACCTGGCTCCAGCCGCCTTCCGACCACCACCCATTCTGCCCGTCTAAAGATGTGGATCCCGCGAAGAAATCTTAAATGATCATTCGATCCAATTTGTATTGAATTATTTCTCCTTAAAAATTGTTGTGAATTTCTCACTTTAGGCAAACAGTAAATAATAAACACATGAAAGACAGCAATTAATAATCTGTAATCAATTATGACATTTAAAACTTGGGGGGTTCCCAACGCTTATCAGCGTTTTTCAACAGAATCTGCTGAGCTCTAGAGCAGATAAGAAATATACTTGCAATATACAAAACCACCAAAAGTCACGTTTGAGAGAAAATAAGTCTAAACGTATTGAATTCGCGCCTCCTGTGATTCACAAACTGGTTCTATAGTACGTATCTCTTAGATTCCAGCCAAATAACCAGATGGCCGCAGATCAAAATGAATGGGTTTGTCCCCTCACAAACAAAATTACAAACGCCCTGATAAAATGACTTACTATATTAATATATTGTTTCGTATTCATATACTTTAAATAGAGTTTTAATCAAAAAAAGTTTGTTATAAGTTATGGCATACATTTACTAAATTATTAAAAATGAACTAAATTTGTAAAACAATATTTGAAGGTAATTAGCTTTTAAATGATATTTTTCAGTGCAAACTTTTCGTTGACACTTCGAGTTAAAGTTTCCGCTCTGCTCTCTTTTGGCTCGCATCCTTTTAGCCTGCTCCTGCGCAGAAAATTCAATTAGTTTCGGCCGAAACTTCACTCAAATCCTGCCGCTCTCACCGCCGCTCTCCATTTCGCTCGCTAACCCCTGCCGGCTCCCCCAGGAAAATCCCGCCCGCAAAACCTATTGATAAAGCCTGACATCAAGTGAGAAATACGATAGCGAATCCCTTATAACTGTCAAATGCCGACCTGCGCAAGATGAGGATGCACTCCTCCATCAACGCACAAAGAAAACCACTTGGAGATGCCAACAGAGGACCTGCGGCGTGGTGAAACCGGAACAATAGAGCAACAAGTGGCGTCAATGGGTCGCAAAAAAGGGGAGGTGATGAGGTCAAGTCGCACAGCCACACAAGCAAATAGCAGAAGTAAGCCAACATCACTTCTCGAGCGGGGAATACCGCACTGATAAGGCATCCAGGCCTCCAGATCGGCAATAAGATGAATCATGTGAACCACCAGAACAGTTCTTCCCCATACATTCAGGTATAAAACCGAAGTATTGGCACCTTGGGAAATCAGTCAGCTCCAGCAATCCAGTCCAGCAACATGCGCAAGACAAGCATCCTAATCGTGGCCCTTGTGGCACTTTTCGCCATCTCAGAGGCAGTTCCTTCATTGCCCACGACGGGACCCATTCGGGTTCGTCGCCAGGTGCTCGGAGGTTCCTTAAGCTCCAATCCCGCTGGTGGCGCTGATGCTCGCTTGGATCTCACCAAGGGCATTGGCAATCCCAACCACAATGTGGTGGGTCAGGTTTTCGCCGCTGGGAACACTCAAAGCGGTCCCGTCACAACTGGCGGAACTTTGGCCTACAACAAGTGAGTTCTCTAAGATTCAAATATATTGTTAGGAGATATAGTATCATATATCTTTTCCTTCTTGCAGTGCTGGCCATGGTGCTTCCTTGACCAGAACACACACGCCCGGAGTAAAGGATGTCTTTCAGCAGGAGGCCCACGCCAATCTATTCAACAACGGCAGACACAACCTGGATGCCAAGGTGTTCGCCTCCCAAAACAAGCTGGCCAACGGCTTCGAATTCCAGCGTAATGGAGCCGGTCTGGATTACTCCCACATCAACGGACATGGTGCTTCGCTGACGCACAGCAACTTCCCAGGAATCGGCCAGCAGCTCGGTCTAGAGGGACGTGGTAACCTGTGGTCCTCGGCGGATCGGGCAACCCGCTTGGATCTGACAGGATCGGCCAGCAAGTGGACAAGTGGACCGTTCGCCAACCAGAAGCCCAACTTTGGTGCTGGCCTGGGTCTATCTCATCATTTCGGTTAAGACTTCTTAATTGCTATTGCAATTCTAATTTATTTACAAATAAATAAAAATCTAAATATTTTATTTTAAAAAAATCATGTTTTTCTGAGTAATGGGGGATAACTATTCTTTAATTGCCTTGATGGGTTTAAATGTGTAAAGGTATGTCAATTAAGCAATGACGTAGCAAGAGTTTGGCCAAATCTGAAAAAAACTATTCTAATATGCTAAATGTTTCATATTTTTATTTAGTGTAAAAATATACCTGTGATCTGATCAAATTTTAAAGAATAAATTTTATATATTTTAAATGGATTAATTGAAAGAAATATATTTTATCGGGTTGGAACTGGCTTATCCACCGCGTTCTAAACTTCTATCCAAAGTTATGATACTCTATGGAAAATACATTGAAATTATTAAACGAAGCCGATTTAAAGGGTACTTTCCGGATCGACACTCATTTGTGTATTTAAATATTTCTAACACATGCTTAGCTGGGGTACGATAAGAAATTAATCAACACTTTTAATCAACAGCACCTCAAGCCTATAACATAAAGATGAACTATCTGTTAGTGCAAGCGATTTAATATTATTTTTAAGAGAAATATAATACTATAGTTTTAACTTTTTTCAAATAATTTATAAATATTCTGAAATATTATACATACATTTTTGTGGTATTCAATAAATTAATTGTTTGGCACTTCCTTTAAAAGTTCTGGTTTATACGACTTAATTTCTTGTTATTTTTAACAATACTAAAATAAAGAAAATCAAATACAAGTTTGCACTAAATTAGTTAAGTGGCTGCTGTCATGCACAAATATGTGTTTATTAAAGTATAGCAATATTTTGAGAACTGTGCGGGAAAAGTCAATGGGTCACCAAATAAGAAAGGTAACGAACACACAAAAACACCACACGTAAATCACCCATCAAAGCTCTAAGGGGAAGTCCTAACTGATAAGGCTGGCAAGCAAGCTGAAAACGACACCCAGATGAATCTAGTGATTTACCAATAAAGTTATTCCCCTTAGATTTTGTATAAAAGCGGTTCATTAGCCACCTTGGACACCAGTTAGCTCCAGCAATCCAGTCCAGCAACATGCACAAGACAAGCATCCTAATCGTGGCCCTTGTGGCACTTTTCGCCATCTCAGAGGCAGTTCCTTCATTGCCCACGACGGGACCCATTCGGGTTCGTCGCCAGGTGCTCGGAGGTTCCTTAAGCTCCAATCCCGCTGGTGGCGCTGATGCTCGCTTGGATCTCACCAAGGGCATTGGCAATCCCAACCACAACGTGGTGGGTCAGGTTTTCGCCGCTGGGAACACTCAAAGCGGTCCCGTCACAACTGGCGGAACTTTGGCCTACAACAAGTGAGTTCTCTAAGATACAAATATATTGTTAGGACAAATAGTAAACCATATTCTCTTCCTTCCTGCAGTGCTGGCCATGGTGCTTCCTTGACCAGAACACACACGCCCGGAGTGAAGGATGTCTTTCAGCAGGAGGCCCACGCCAATCTATTCAACAACGGCAGACACAACCTGGATGCCAAGGTGTTCGCCTCCCAAAACAAGCTGGCCAATGGCTTCGAATTCCAGCGTAATGGAGCCGGTCTGGATTACTCCCACATCAACGGACATGGTGCTTCCCTGACGCACAGCAACTTCCCAGGAATCGGCCAGCAGCTCGGTCTAGAGGGACGTGGTAACCTGTGGTCCTCGGCGGATCGGGCAACCCGCTTGGATTTGACAGGATCGGCCAGCAAGTGGACAAGTGGACCGTTCGCCAACCAGAAGCCCAACTTTGGTGCTGGACTGGGACTTTCCCACCACTTCGGCTAAATGTTACTGTGGTATAGGGTTAGAAGCTAATTTATTTAAATCAAAATAATAAACGCATACAAAATTATGAAACTATGTGCTAATTAATAAGCCTTTTTAAAATCAACAAACAATTTTTCACTCACCAAATAAAATAGGAATATCCATTTGAAACCTGAATGAAATATAAGCTTCTCGTATCAGTTTACGGTTTTCTTTTATCTTTTTATTATGTAGTTATTTGAATATTTTGCTTATTATACCGCACTTGCGTAAACAATTCGATCCCACTCAATGATTAATAATTTTGCTTATGTTAGTTTAATGGATTTTGTTTTACATTTTTGTTGTGGTTGTTGCTGCTCCTGTTGCTATCTTCACCAATTAGGGTTTCATTTCGTTTTTGCAAAAACATAAAACATGTTTGGCTTGAACAATGATTGGGAGTTGTTGGAAAATACAAAAGGAAACTATGAAAAGTCTGCTAAGTATGCTGATATCATGTTTGAATTGAATAATGCCTTCTGCACACCGCTTACGACAGCTTCTTGGCCTTCTGGTACAGCGTGTCCACCACCTTACCCATACTTTGTATGGTTTCCAGCACACGTTCATAGGTCTTGTCCACAGGCGTCTCCTCGAAAACAATCAGTACTCCCTCACCCTGATCCAGAATGCCGCTGAACTTTTTGTCCAGGATCATTTGGGACAGCTTCTTTTCCACCTGCGGCATGGGCAGCTGGATGCTCTCGGCAACATGGGCGACCTGCAAACAGAACACAACCCATTTTAGTGAGGGTGAACATACAATGTCTTTACAATCCATCTAACCTGCACACGAGAGTAGGGTTCAATGATGCGGCACAAGTTTTGCTCCAACATGGTGTCGTATAACGTCCCCAAATGCGCCTGCACAATCACATCCTCGGCCAACTCCTTTTTGTATTCCTTGAGGGCAGCTTGGAAGTCGGCCAGGGAACGTTTGTGGGAAGCCTCAGCCACTGATTTCATGGCATCTACATCGCGGCCCGAATAGGTAATAGCCTGGTAATGACAATTACATTAATAAGGGAATTTGCTGGTTACAAATGTTGGTTGTGTTAGACAATTCGATTACATATATGTATGTAGAAAACAACAACTGCTTACCAGCTTTCCGCTGACGATCTGGTTGACATCATCGGACTGACCCAACATGATTTTGCACAGCAACATGTATTTCAGCGAGGTCAGGGCCTTACCGCTGTCCACGCTGTCGAATCCTTCAAAGGCCTCATAGAAATAGGAGAATGCGGTCTTAAAGTCACGCTCATCGGCCGCATGTAGGATGCCGGACTGAAGATCCAGTGCGCCCTGCACCTTTGGTGGGCAGTAGATGGCATTGGCCGTGGTGCGTGCTGAGGTAAGGGCGGCCCTAGCTTTGGGCAGGTTACTCAGTGCGTGATAGGTTTTGCTCTCCAGTAGCTGCACTTCCACCAGCAGATTCTTATCATCCAGTTTTTTCAGCTCCCGCAGCAATTGGGCACCCAGACTCAGGGCCTCCGTATACAAAGCAGTATCAAAATATAAGGCAATCAGGCGAGCCTCCAGCGATTGGCGAAGAAAAGTGCGTTTCTCCTGTTTGGCCCACTCAATGCAGTCTTTACACAATTGAACCTAGAGATCAAACAAAGAATTTTCTAGTAAGTCATCGTTAGTCATTGAGTGAAACAAGAACCCACCTCAATGCCTGTGCCCGCGTCCATGTCCAGGAACATGTCCACCAGCGAACGCACCAGCTTTGCCGCCTTGGCCTTGCTGATCGAGCTGAGGAACGGACGCGTCACCTTGATGAGATCGGCCAGCTCCTTGGCCTTGCCCTCTTGCTTGTAGAGCTCTCCCTGCTGCAGAATGCCCTGCTCCTTGATTCGAATGCGCTCCTCATCGTTCTCGGCGCCCTCCTGGTCCCGGACAAGCTTGTTCAACAGCGAGCTGTCCTGCTCCTCGCGATTCACGCTGGACAATGCCTGGGCACGCTCGAAAAGTGTTGCTCCGGCCATCTTGCGACTTGAAATTTGTGTTCGGACGAGACGAGATGAGAATTGGGGCTGGTCAACTCAGGAATTTACTAATCAATCAATCAACTAAGCGTGTCTCAACTCAGCCACTAGCAATGCGACAATTTTTCCTTTGTTTTCGATCGGTTCCGGTGTGTATTGATTGCGTATTTACGTGTTTTATGCTGACTTTTTCACCTCTCGGTCGTTGTTATTAAGCGCCAGTCACGATTAGAGCTGGTGCGATTCCGATAGGCGTATCGTAGCGGGCATCGATAGGCCTCGAAGGTAGCACTAGTGCGTGCTATCGATAAATCGCACACAATTCGTGACCAATCGAAAAACCCGGTCTAATTACTAATTAATTACGATTTAGTTTCTATATAAAAGGCTTTAGCTCAAATTCAATTTAAATCAATTTTACTTTAGTTATGATAGTTCTCTGCCGCTGTGATCGTGGTGATTTTGATTAATCGAGCTTACTTATGTGCACAAATGGAACTCTTCATACTGTATTTGTGTACATTACTTATGTGCACAAATGGAACTCTTCCTACTGTATTTGTTTACTGTATTACTGCATAATAACGGCATAACGGAAAATATTACATTTTCATATCGACATCTTGTTGTGTCCCACACCTAGTTAATATCGAGAAACTCCCGTCACTAATTGATTTGTTGCTATTTGCAAATTTGTTTGTTTTTGAAACTTAAGAAAGAAATGGGTGAAGAAACTATTAACTCCACGCAAAACAAAACCAGGACGAAAACCACGCGACCCAAGGCAGTGTACCTGTGGACGGTCAGCGATGTGTTGAAGTGGTATCGACGCCACTGCGGGGAATACACCCAGTACGAGCAGCTCTTCGCCCAGGTAGGTTGAGTGCACAATCCTAATCCTAGTCCGTATCCTCCATTTACTTAACTTACCGTTGATCCTCGTTAACACGGTTTTCCTTCAGCAGTTCCGTCATTTCAGCACCTCAAAACGCAAACAGGAAAATTCCCGAATACTTTTCGCTACAATTTAGACATCACTATAACTGCCTACTGATCTTGTTCCTTTCACAGCACGATATAACCGGACGGGCTCTACTACGGATCACAGACTCCTCACTGCAAAGGATGGGCGTTACAGACAACAGGGATCGGGAAGCCATTTGGCGGGAGATCGTAAAACAGCGACTTAAGACGGACATCATGGAAATCCGGGATATGGAGAGGCTCAACATTTACTAGGAACAAAATATATTCAAATTCCTTACTACGATAATAGAACATTTAAAGATTAATGTGGTTATGATGTAAACCTTCTTTTTAAGATTCTTAGACGCCATATCAGGTTTTAGATTAGACAAACAAATATAGAAAAAAGGAAAATTCGCGTTTTAATTTTCTGACCCTATCAACTGATTATTGCTTATTGTCCAAGATTGACACATGTGAAATTAACTCATAAATGAGAGACTTGTATAGTTTTTATTATTAGGATACTTGGGTTAGTGTATACTAAAGTAAAGACCAGAATATCATTTCTTTGAGATCACTGAAAGGTGTTGCTAATATCAATCACTTATAACGACCAGTTCCGTTTCGGTTCAGACCTCCTTTTCCTGCTTGGGCGTGACCAACTGGACGTCGTTGTCCACCGGCTTGGTGGCCACACTGGCTACCAGCCCCACTCCTGATCCGGCCACCGCCACGCCACTGTTGCAACTTGAAGTGGTAACGACTTTGGGCAGCGAGTTGGATGTTAGGATGTGCGGCATGGTTACGGTGCCATTGCCCATTGGCAGAGCGGTTGTGAAGAGCAGTTTTGGCGGCTGCAGACGTTGAGCAGTGGAGCATGGCGAGGCTACAGGTGCCGGCTGTATTAGACTTGGCAACAGGTTGAGCAGGCGCTCGCCCATTGACTTCTCCCAGTCCAGGCGCTCGCGTTCCAGGGATAATCGATTGTGCTGGATCTCGTTGGCTTCGTTTTGGGAATTCAGCAACTGACGAAGAAGAATTCGCATTGCTGAAAATGGAATTTATTTTAGTACAATGGGAACATGATGATAGCAGCTTGATACCTACTTGTCATGTGTCTCTTCGTTTGCAGATCCTCCCTAGCTTTCTCGTGAACCCGGCGACTCTCCTCCTTCTCCAGTTGAATGTGCTGCTGATGCTGTAGATGCTGCTCCTGCTGGAGACTATGTTGCAGTTTCTGCTGCTGCTGCTGAACAGCGGCCTGCACCTGAGCTTGGGCATTGGACAAGGGCAAGGAGGCGGTCGATTTACCCACTGCAGCAGCCGCTGCCGCCGCCTTGGCCTGCTCCGCATTGACCAGCACGAACTTGACGCCTCCGGGCGCAGTGGCCACCAAACCGGCGTTGCTAGGCTGTGCCGGTGCTGCTGCCGATCCGCTAATCATCAGACGAGCGCCCTGATTGATGGCACTTTGCAGCAGCTGGATTTGGGGCGCAGATCCCTTGGCGTTTGCCATGGGACTTGGTCCCGCGGCAGCCGGCAGTTTTGATTGCATCAGGAAATTCGTTGGTACCAATGAGATTTTACCACCCTGAAGTTTGCCCGGTGTGGTAGTTGAACTCTGCGTGGTCGAGCTTATGCCGGCCGTGGTGGTGGTAATGCTGGCCGGGATGATGACATTGGCCCCGGTAAAGGGAAGCAGATTCGACGGTTTGTTCCGCTGTAACATGTCAGCCAAAGTGGATGTAGTATTGGAACTTGATGACTTCTCTGTTGGCGGATCATCTGCGGCATCCACATCGATGGGTTCTTCCTTGGGCTGTGGCAGAAGCATGCAGTCATCGTCCTCCTCCGGTTCGGGCTCTATTGTGGAAGTTGCTGGAGCCGTTTCGACTTCCTGTGCTGGCTCGCTTTTGATGCAGGACGACGTCAGAGCCTCTCCAATATCAACCTCCACATCAGCGGACACCTTGCGACGCTTTGAAAATGATTCTTCGTTCATATCGGTGTCGGCTTCTAGGCAGCCAGCTTCCAATTCCTTTCGGCTGCCGGTGTCCTTGTTTTTGCTGACGAGGGCGGAGAGCAGCATGTCATCCTCCTCGTTGTCGCTTTCGGATAACTCCTCTCCGTTCTCCAGCCGGCGCTTGCGACGTTCGGCATGCTCCTCCAGGGCCTGCTCCAGTTGGTACTTGAGCGATGGAGCAGGCACCTCATTGGGTCGCACACTAAAAATGGGTCTGGTCATAATGGCATCCATCTCGGCAAAGTGTTTCCAACTGGGCTCCGAATCGGTGGACTGACCGCCGCACTCCTTGTCCTTCTTCAAGCGATTGTAGAAGCACTTCAGATTCTTAATCCGTGTGGTAATCTCCTCCGGCGAGCGATGGTAGCCGTACTCCTGCATCTTGGCGGCCAGTTGACAGATCACGGCGTGCTTTTTGTGCGTGGTGATTAGGGTTCTCTGCAGCTTGGGATCGCCCCACAACTGGATGAGCAGTTTGGTTTCATCTGTGTCGAAGTTGGGATTGCGTCCCACGAAGCTATGCTTCTTGGCGGAGTTCTGGCACGGATTTGGGGCACCATTTCCTGGATTGATTGTCGTACTTACAGGATTCGCAGTGGTAGCTGAGCCGTTGTTCACCGTCTGAGCCGGAGTTGATGGTACCGGATAGGTGGCCGCCGCTGCCTCCGAGCGGCGCTTCTTGATCCTAGCACTGGACTTCAGGCTCATGGCTGCTGCACTGCGTCTGGAAAACGAGCAGGTAGGCAGGTGAAAATCAATATAGGCCAGAAAATGGAAATCCGGGTGCCGCTGCCTCCGTCTGCAGGCGAGTGAAAAATGAGCCAGGCGAACGGCGCAACCGCGGGCAACCGAATTGCCCGAAATCCACCCCTAAACATCGGATATACCCCCACCACCCGGGAAAATCGGTGGCTAAGCCAAGTGCATTTCCCACCCAACTAAGTAGTAGCATGCGCGCTGGCTCACAACAGCTCTCTCGCTCTCTCTCGTCCTTAAGAGGCATGCGCCAAGGGGGAGTTATTGATTAGTAACCCCCTGCGTTTAGGGGTTCTTCCAACAGGAACCAGGAAAAACACTTTATTTTCGGATTTGCATTTAACTGGCTAAAATGAGTCCGCTGCTTTCCACAAAAAAAAATACCCGGCTAGAGATGGGAATCTGGCGAATAGGGACGCGAATTAGGATGTGGACACGAGATCTGCGCATCACACTTTGTAGGACATGCGCAGTGAGAGCGAGCGAGAGAACGCGTTAAACCGTGGCTGGGGTGGAAAGTGCTCGCTGCAACGAAGCAGCAGACTTTGCGAGAACGGAATGAGAGTATATTTAATAAAACATTTAGAAAACTTGCTCTGCACGACCAGGATAAGAAGCTCGAAAGCCTTAACTATTCCCCAGAGAGCGATTGCCAAAAAGCGAGAGATTTAAACTTTTTAAATCGGCACAACATATATCGATAAGTCGAAAGTCGATAAGTGGATATGAGAAATTAAAGCTAGCGCTGCCAACCGAATGGTATGGTTTTAAGCAAATGATGTGGTAACTATTTTAAGCATAGCGCACTTAATTTGCGCAAGGTAACATTTCAAATAAGGTATATATACATTAGGACAATAAAAATATTAATGAATAAAAACTATATTATTGAAGTTGGTATGTTTCACAGCTGTTTGGTATTTTTAGACTTTCTGTAGACGTTCACACCTGTCAGCTGTTGTTAAAAATTTGGTTTGCAATACAAAACTAGAAAAATGGTTTTGTCCCAAGAGGAGCAGGAGTTCATCAAGCGCAAGCACGAAGCGACGCTGAAGGTCCGCCAGGAGTTCCTCAAGCAGAGCTCCAATCCCTACCGCCATGCCACCGGCGAGGGCGGCACCGTGGTAAGTGGGAGCACCAATCCTTGGCTTGGTTATGTCATCACAATGCGGGCTAAATGCTATTAAACCGCTTTACATTGCAGTTCGATGCGGGATTGGCCCGTTTCCAGGCGATGCGCGTCTCCAACTATGAACACTTCAAGCCCACCGGCAAATCCTTCCGCACGGGCCTGTTCGCCGTCGTCCTGCCGATTGCCCTCTACGCCTGGGCCTTGAAGGCGGAGCGCGATGGACGCGAGAAGAAGTACAGGACTGGCCAGGTGGCCTACAAGGATCGCCAGTTCAAGTTCATCTAAGCCATACATTCAGCAATTGATCTTCGATTCGTATAGTGGAATTAAAACAAAACCGTAATGAAGCTATGCCATTTATTTCTCCTCCATCTGCTTGTCGCGGGCGATGACAAAGTCCTCGAACTTGACCATGTACGTGGTGCCCTTGTGCCAGTGGGCGGTCACCTTGCAGGGCTGTGAGACACAAATTATAATATTATTAATTATTAATACTTTGTGGTGTCTACAGTGAAACCTACAAATCCGCAATTCGTGAGCACAGCTTCCACAATGCCAGCAGTGAAATTGGCGCAGTTTAGAGAGCCCTTATCCTTTGGCACACTTATGAAAGTGTTGACCAGAGGTTCCTTTTCAATAATGTAGTATGTCCTTTCATCGTCGTTGGCGTGTTCCAGTTTTTCCGCCTCCTTGCCAAACAGATTTTTCCACACTGTCGTCTTAACAAAGAGCAGCATTTGGGTTAATTTCGTTTCCCTCTTGGAGCTGCGCTCCCTCACGAAATACAGGTCGATTATCCGGGTGCCCACATCTTGCCCCAAGTCGTGGAGTCTGAAAATTAGTTTAGATTTAACGAAATAATCCCAAAAACATACAAAAACTTCCACCTTGTTTGCAATTCGGGCACTGTAAACACTCTACTCTGCGAGTACTGGACGATTTCGCTGAAAAGCAACGCCACAATGCTCTGGGAAACCTCCGTTTTGCCCTTGGATAGGGGTCTGTCCAGGATGTTGCTGCGCGGGCGCATCGAGGATATTTTTAGGGCCTCTAGTTTCTCCATTTTGCTGATAAATGTATTAAATTATTTTCCAAAACAAAGCAAAGTGTGCACGCCTATTTTTATGCCCGAAATGCCAAGATGCTTTACAGAAGAGGTCACACTTAAATGCGCAAAAAAAATACAATAATTATTAATTATATTTATAAAACCCTGTATTCTTGTTATATATTTTTAAAAAATATAATTGGAATAAACAATAAATAGGTGCTTTCCTGTTTTCTTCTATGAATAGCAATCGAATAAAGTGCCTAGAGCACTTTGTATAACAGAAAGTGTGCTAAGCTGTTATACTAGCACGAACTCAAGCCCGCGAATTTGAATTTCAGCCGCTAGTTTTAAAATGGAATTCTTATTCGGTAACCAATTTTTTCTTCTTTGAGCTGCAACAATCAGTCTTCTTACTCGGGTCCTGCATTTCCACCTCGGACCAGTGATCT